TCCTGCTGCTCACTTCAACCAGCATTTCATTCACTGGAGGACTTGTCAGCTGCCCTCACTTAGAAATCCTCTGAGGCTGTTCTAATTTGAACCAAACAGCATATAAGGAATATTCGCTCATCCTCAGACATCACACTTTTTTCTGTCCTTCCACAAAGACAAAACAGGGCATCTGGTCCTTGTTGAGAGGCAAGGATTTTGGGGGAGTGCCACTGTAGAATGAAACAGTAAAAACTTTAAATAAAAGACTGAGTAATTATAGAAGACAAACACCAACTGGCCAGGTGATTTTAGAAGAGAGAATATTAAAGGTTTGTGAGCAGCCTAGGAGCACCATGAGAGCACAGGTAGCATGAAGGGCCTTATGCCAGGACCAGGGCACGATGTCAGGTTCCTCTGTTGGCAAGACTAAGCTATTTGTTTTGAGAAGTGGCCTTAAATTATAAATTTCATCTGAAGCTTGATTCCAGAGGAGTCTTGATCAGGGCAATGCAATATTCAGTCTTGATAATTCTATGCTAAACCATTTAATGTCCATCACTAAACTATAGTTTTCCTTTAACAGGGTCTAAACTTGCCTGAGCTGGGCTAAGAACAGGGAGCTCTAGTTATAAATTGGCATCCTCTGCTCTCACCAAGGTGCTTTCCTGTGCAGACATATGGCGCTGGCCACAATACATCTAATATCCCCAGTCACGTTTTGTTCATACCAAATTTAGCATTTCCATTGCAAAGCTCTAAACACTCTTAATAGTCTATTTGCTGTCATTTTTTACCTTGGAGGTGTCAACTTTTTCTTTCAGATCTGCATGGCTGGGAGGTCTCAATGCACCGGTTGTTCACAGTCACTACACAAAAATGATAGAAGGAGAAGTTTCACATCAGGATTTTTTGTTGTTGTTGCACAGTTATTTATTACCAAGAAATGCTCACTGTTATTAGGCTCCAGACAGCAATTGTACCTGATTTCAGACATCTGTAAGTCCGTGCCACTTCCTCCCTCTCCTCCAGTCTTCTCCCACCACTAGGCATTAATATGATGAGTTTGCTGCTTAGATCATTGTGCTTGGGACCCACAGGGCAGATGGGAGAGGTACAGATAATAGATGTAAAACAAGGGGTAAGAGAGAGGCAGGAGAAATGTCACAAAGGACAAGGAGGGACAGGTATGGTGGCAAAGCCAGAGAGGAGACAGGTAGCTCAGAAGAGCCAAGAGCTGAGTAGGAAACAGCACATTCTTACTGTCTGTGCTAAAAGCCTTGGTTGTTATTTCAGGCAGATAAACCCAGGGTCCAGGATACCAGCTTTTCTCACAGAAAACTTAAAGACTATTCAAAATTAGTTCAGCATTAAAAAAATAATATAGTCACTGTTTTGGCAATGTGGGCATTTTAGGAGGGTCACCTGACAAAGAGGAGGCCTTTAAAAAAATAATTTTATCCTCATATCATCACCCTGCAGGCATTTCCCCTGGGTCCATCCCACAGCTCTTCTACCGTCCTCCCACCCCTGGCTATCTACAGTAAGATTTATGCAACCAGCCCCTCAGTGCTTCACTCTAAAGCATATTGTAATTTTTTTTTTCTATTCAAACAAGATCATCAGAAGAACTCTACATTTAAAACATGGTGGAAATGATTCATAAAAAAAAAAGAATATCCACTGTTTTTTCTTGGTCACAAATGCCACAGAAGGAAAGTGGTGCTGGATTTGCAGGCAACTTTCAAATGTCTCCAAATTCAGTGCTACAAAAAGTCTATTGCTCAAGCTCAGCTGGAGAGGGCAAGGCACAGACGGCAGACAAGGTCACTCTGACAACGGGGAACATGCTTTATATGCTGAGCAGCACAGGGCTGGAAGAAGGCAGACAACAAGGGCTTGACGCATTTGAAGTGTCGCTCAAAGTTGAGTCAAGGTTTCTCCTTGTGGAGATACCTGACAGCTGCAATCACCTTCCTATTTCATGTCAGCATTGATTTCAACTCCAGGTCTTGCAATTCTTCCTGTAATTTATTCAGTTCATAGTGATTCACTACATAAAAACAGGTGGAAAAAAATCCCCTCTGATAAAGCACCATGGTTACAGATGTAAGATCCAGCCTTGCTATATTGAAAGCAATGGGAATTTCATTCCTGTCTTCAGGCAAACCCTTGCCCACTAAGAAACTCCAAAGTTACAGGTTTCAGTTCTGTCCTCATTTACCTCTGCTAAAATCCAGACTGACATTTTGCTTTAACAAGCTTCAGATTGCTTCTTAAGCAACCAGCTCCTCTGCTTCTGAGATAAGCATGATGATAAAAGTAAATTCAGTCCCATGTTTAGCACTGCAGCCAGTGAAAATTAAAGGGTGGAAAAGGAAAGCAAAAGAAAGTGATAGTTTATAATACTTTTTTGTTTCACCCAGTGCACAGGTGAATTGAAAACATTTCTTAAAAAAATTTCAGCAAGATTATTTATGAAACGTGGTTTTTGTCACTCTCTTAAATTGCATCTTTCAATAAATGTTCCATCTCCTATAGCTAATCCTGGATGCACGCAAAAAAAACCCCAACACCACAAAAACCCCAAGCCTGTCCAACACTGCTAAAGATGTGAAATGAAGTATTTCACATTGTATATGCACCCAAATAGCCTTTCAGTTACTGTGCATATTATATTTCCCCCAGAATGTAGGTAGGGATTGTTGCTCACTTAATGTTCAGATAGTTTTACACTGTAAGATAGTTGAGGACAAATACGTATATTTTTAACAAAAAAGTTACAACATGCATTTTTATTTTAGTTGCCTTAAAATGGGTTTTGCTCTTGTCAGAATAAGTTCTTTTTTTTTATTATTTGCTACAGCAAAATGTACTACTGAATGTGGGGTTTTGTAGTGAAGATTAAGGAATGCCTGAGATTCAGCTCTGATTTAAATAATCAGTAATTTTGATTTGTGTTCCTCGTACCAGAAGATCACCCTTGTCCACTCCTCCTCTCGGTCCCAGAGCAGCCCAGGAGCCAACAGACAGCTCCCCCCATCTGCCTGCTCCCTGGGGCATGGGGATGCACTCCTTCGACCAGAAGCTCTGGCTCTAGATCCTCACAAGTTTACCATGTTTCTGAGTCTCCCTGGTGAGAAATGAGCAATCAGCTTCACCTGTGCCAAATTCCAACTTTCTGAACACCTCCACAGCATGACCAAACATGCTACAAACCATCATTCCTTGCTTTCAGGAGAGACTGAGAAACAGCAACTCAATTTACAAAGGCAATACAACAAACCAGCTCCAGGCTACCTTTGCTCCCACAGCCCACTTTTCCAAAGGCCTGAGCTACTGACTCTGAATTATGCTAAGAAGGGAAGCAATCCATCTGAGCCGGAGGGCTGCAAGTAACACTGTTTTTCCTTTAAAAACCTTTTTAATTATGAGGGACTCTCCTGCAGCAGGCACTATAAAGTCAGTACGGAAGCGGACAGCCCAGAGCCTCCAGTGGAAGAGCAGGATGGTGAGATGGGACTCAGGGGAGAAAAGTGAAAGGAGAAAGGGAAACTGTTGGAGAAACAAGTTAGTTATTTTCATAGTTAGGCAGAATCACCGAATCACAGAAAAATGCAGGGTGGACAGGGCCTCTGAAGGTCTCTAGTCCCGTCCCTTGCTCACAGCATGGCCATTAGATGAGGCTGGATCAAGCTGCTTCCTTGTCCAGTTGAGTTCTGAATACCTCCAAGGATGGAGATCCCAACACCTCTTTTGGCCTCTGTCCTGGTGTTTGAACACCCTCAGGGTGAAAAAGCTTTTCCTTATATCTAGTTGGCAGTTCTTGTCTTCCACCCCTGTTCACCCAGTTCATGAAAGCAAGACACTTCTGGGGAAGGGTGCTCCCTCTGACATGCGTGTTCTCGTTTTCTCTCCTGCCTTTTATATAACTCATTTTATGCTTCTTTTTGGCTCTGTTTTTATGCAGTAGCTCTGTTACTGTCTGCTTTTCTGATTATAAAAACTCTAAATTTGATTTAAACCTGATAATTATGCTGTGATCTAGCAAAGGCCTTAATTAACCCTATTGAAGCCAATAGGTGAGAGGCATGCTCTTTAGGACCTTAAAAATTGGGTGTTTAATTGCATCCAACACTGAGAAAGGTGCAGGGAGGTGAAGTGAATATGTAGCTAATTCAAGCCACCAGTACTAACAGAACAGGACTTTGTGCACTAGATCTCTTATAACCCATCCAGACCAGAATTTTCTGCTGTCTTCCACCACAAGAGGAATATGAATATACCAGATGCACAAGAAGACTCAGCTGGTCACTGGTATTGCTACAAAAGTTTGTCATGTCCTTTGGCTGTTAGAAATCCTGAATCATGATCTGCACAGTGGGTATGTTTGTGTTCCCCTTCAAGGTCAAGGCGTTTCTAGCTGCATTCACTACCCATCAGGACAATTCCAGTCTACAAGGGTACATCTTCCTCTCTTGTCATCAGTCTTGCCAAACTAAGTAAAATTTAGCCATAGAAAAAGAAAGCATTGGGGTCTCTGCTGCCTGGCAGCAGCCAGGAGAAAAGTACGGGAAACAATATTCAGGAGGGGTAGTCTGGCACCCCATGCAGTTGGCATTTCCAGCCGCCTAAAATAGCTGGTCAGCCTTGTACACAGTCTATATAGCTTAGGGGGGGAAGGAAAAGTCCTTAACACACTGAGCTGTACAAAAGAAATGTCCTAAAATGTCACCACAGGAACAATGATGTCATTGTGTGCTGCCCTTCTGTTTTTATCTTGCCTGTTTATTCATCCCCTAATTCACTGGATAACCGTGCAGAGCTACCAGGAGACTAAAGCGTGTGGGTCCAAGGTGAAGGCAGGTCTTCACACTTTGCAGGGATGATCAAGGGCAGGTGCTGTGGCTACCTGCAAGCCAGGTTTTATCGTTTTGTGTTCTTAATGGCATTTGTCACAGTCAATATGCCAGTAGCTTTCTTCCCTTCCTGTCCTTCCCCAGCACCAAATCCTTGGATCTCGCAGAGCTGTATGACTTTTGGGAAGGAGAACAGTGATGTGCCCGTGATTATCACACTGATGAGAGCTGACGAATGCTTAGTTGGCACCAGGGAGGAACTGGCCCTGAATTTATGTGCCTTATTCTCAGATGCTTTGTTCTTGGTCATGAGAAGCAGAGGGTTTTATACAGACCTGAGAAGCAAATCAGCCTATGGGAAAATGCAGTTATGGGAAACAGGCTTAAAATTGTCCCGAAATAGGCCTAGAACAGTCTTATAAGCCTTTAGCCCAGTCCAGAGGAAAAAGTGTGTGTTTGTCTTTCTTTAGGGCTTCACAACACCCAGCTCTAAATGTCACTAGCACGCAGAGGAACAAGAGTGACCATAATGCTCAGAAAATGCCTCCATTCGCTACGTCAAGCTCTTCCAGCGACACATCAAGCAGCTCTTCACTTTCATCAGAACCGACCAGCCAGATCTCCATGGTTCAGGATCAAACCCTGCTGGACATTGCCTCCATCACTAGATTGGCCTCAGGAGAATCACCAAGCCCTCAACCATTTGAGCAAAGAGATAAAAATTTAGCAATATCATGTTCCAGCCCATTTGGAGCAAGGACTATTCCAGCATCTTGCCCAGCCAGCCCCAGGCTCAGTCTAACACCCAGCTCAGCCAAGCCACAGCAATACTCTGACTCCTCTCCAGTCAGTCCAGGGATCAATGCAACCTCCGTCTATACCTTTTGTCCTCACACAGCACAAAACGTACAAGCTTCAGCATCAGATCACACACTGACCCCAACCAGGAAAAGCACAAGGCCTCCAGCAACAATGACTCCTGAAGATAGTTCCCAGTCTCCTGGCTATTCTAAAACTGAATTAAAGAATACAGGAAAGGGTTTTGAATTGTATCTGGAAGATCCTGCTCATGAAAGGTACGTATCCAGGGCATACACGTGTTTTAGTCCTCAAATGAATCAACTTGGTATAGGGTCTTTAAGAGCCCCTCATAAAAAAAAAATTAAATATCTTTTATGATTTAAATATTCCCAGTGTTTGTTTTCCAGTAACTACCCTATGCTCCCACTAAACCCTGTTATCCAAGAAGCAAAATACCATATTTTCCATATATTCATGTAGCTCTCCAGACCTGATTACAGGACCATACCTGGGCTGGGTTGTCAACCTCAGCTCCTCCAACGGGGCACAGTTTCAAGGTGCCTCATTTCCTTTCAAATGAGAAAACACATCTCTCCCTGTACCAGCAGAGAGAAACTCTGCTGTTACTACAAAGCCTGACAGATGAGAGCTGGGGATGGTATTCAGTGACATGGCGGGTATCTCCCTTCCCAAACTTCAGGCTCTGTGGTCTGACCCCAGGCAAACTGGGCTGATTTCACCCCTCTGAGCCTCTGAACTCCACACTGTGTCTGCCACTTCTTTCCTTGGCAGGAGATTTGTAACCACGAAGGAATTCCAAGCCCTGGAGAAAGAACTAGAGGATGTAAAAGAAGAACTGAAATGCCTGAAGTGGAAAGTGAGACACATTGGTGAGACTGTGCAACCCCTGGCCGAAGACAGCAAGCGTTACAATGGCTATACCCTGATGGAGCTCAAGGCAATGGTGCAGTTCGAAGATGATCCTTACAAGGCTGCACACAAGATCCTAACTGCACTCTTCAGCGATGTCTATTTGCTACAGCACTCAGTCACTGAACAGGCCTGCAACTCCCGATCTCTGCCCAAGCCCAAAATAGACCCAGAGCTGTACACAGTGTACTGTGACATTCTGAAAAGCATATTCCCTGGAATTAGCAGCCAGACCTTGAGGGAAGAGGCACAACACGTGCAGAAAAGCACCCAGAAAGATGTGCAATAACACCAGAGCCCACGAGACTGCAAAGTCTCCGGTGACTTTAGAGGACTGAACTGTGGGTATGTACCGTTGGTTGAGTCTATCCCTTTTAGGTATGAATCATCTGTAAAGATATTGGTGAGCTCTGAGCCCTTCATGCCACTTGCCCAATGAGACAGGATGGGAAGTTGTTCTGCATACTTCCCACACTTTAGAAAAAAAATGCCCCCTTAGCGCCTCTTTCAATATATGGATGTTTCCTTGTTTCCAGCAACTACAAATGCTGACAAAAGAATCCAGAGAAGGCATTGCGTGTCCAAGCAAGAGCCTTCCCCCAGCCCCAAACAGACCAACCAACCAACCAGCATCTGGGTAGTTTCTATTTTCTAGACTACACCATTCATTAAATGACATTACTTGTTAGAAAATTGTGCCTGTTCTTTTTTATTTATTTTCTTGTCTAAAAATGCTTTGCACACCAAAGCAATCAACAATCACAACTTGAGTACACACTGGGATGAGACCTGGGCATGCAGCAAACCACCCTCCCTGCCTGTCTGCATCCTGGGTTACATGGGAAGAAAACCAGGGCAGAGAGGTCAGCGGCTGCAGTGCACCCAAGCAGGTCTCCACTGTAAATAACTGGGGGCTGGGCATAAGAGTGTGCAATCATCAACCCATCAGTGAAACAGGTAAAGGTCTGTGACCTCCATCTCTCCTAACCTGTGATAACTGAGCTGACAGAACAGCTCACGTGTTGACAGCCGTGCTTTGCCTTCCCATGACAATGATGCTGGAAGACTGGCCCCTTGCAAAGGCCCCACAAGGTGATCGCTGCTATGGAGCCTGCCCCAAGGAAAGGAGGCTGCTGTCATGGAGGACACAGAGCAAAACGGCCCTGGAGCTCCTTCCTCCCCATCTGGGACCCAGCAAAGTGCAATGGATGAACAACAGTTTGTCCACCAGGTTCTGCTCACAGGGCTGGCCTTGTAGCCAGGTTTGTAAAGATCTGGTGGGGGTGGAGGGATGTCCTTGTGCCCTACCCTACTGGTTCACCCACCTCCTTTCAGAGAGTCACTGACACTTCCCTGGTCTCAATGTGACAAATGCATCAAAACTCAGAACATGTCTGTCCTGCACACTGCTGCTGCTCCCTGCCAGGCCACTGAGGATGGCAAGATGAGCAAAAGGTAACCTGCGAGTTCAGCCTACCTTTCCCTGCATTGGGTATAATCCACTTCTTAAGGTTATTCCAAAAACAACAGGGAGGAAGAGGGGAAAATTAAAAAAAAAAAAAAAAAGCAGATCATTCCTTGTGTCACCACAGCTCCAGACATCTTCAGAGGATGGGAGGGAACAGTACACTCCAAGGACATGCTCCGTACCTTGTGGGCTCTTCTGCATAAGGATTCTGAGGATGTTCTGACATATGTATGAGAGATCCTACTTGTCTTTCAGCATGATGTATCTATACTGTTCTCTGCTGGGCTTACAAATACATTTTTTAAAGCTCCTTGTTATTAGCAGTTTATTCTACTTACAAGCCGCTGTGCAAACACAGGCACAGCGCTTTGCTCGTGTAGCCTCTCTGTACCACACTACAGCCAAGATCTACAGCCACACCTGGCAAATTGCCAGGTCGCTACGGCAATACAGAGGGTGGTGCACAGTGCGTGCCCTCGGGGCAGTCACAGCATCGAAACAAGGGACTGGGAAAAGGATGCCTCCCCGACACAGCCAGCTCCCTTCGCAGGTGGGCACAGAGGTGAGCGTAGGATGGATGGAGCCGCTGGAGATGCAGTGTCCCCTCAGAGCAAATCCCAGTAAGCACCGCAGCAGATTATGACAAATCATCTGGAAGGCTCCATGCATCGTGGAGAGGATGTTTGTGTCTCACACAAGCATGCCATCCTGCAAGCATTTATGTTCTGCTTTCATGGCTCTTTTTTGTAGGAAAATGTGTCCCTTTGATTCAGATGGGTGGGAGTAGCCTGGCCCTCCTCGCACAGAACTCACGTAGGCACTGCTCCAGACTTGCTTTTCTACAACAGCCCACACCCCTGACTCTCAGCGGTCTCTCTTCAGAGCTTTCCATAATCTCCAGTGGACACAGAAGTGAGGAAAATGTAATGTAGGCATTAGCAAAATCAGTCTTCATATATTGTACTGCCTGCCCTCTCTGCCTGTAAAATCTTAATAGTCGATCCTGTATGAACAGGCTCTGTGGCTTCTCATGTTCATGGGGCCAGACAATATGCTCAGATTATATTTTAGCCTCGTTCTCCACATGCCTACTAGTACCAAGGTCCAGCACAGATCTATGAATTATTTTTATTAGCTTTGCATCATCAAGGATGGTTCTGTCAGATATTGTCAGTTCTGGGTCCCTTTCAGGTGTCAGTGTCCTTCTCCTGGATCTGTTCTGGTATGAATTGCTACTGCCCATTTTAGAGAGGTGTATTAGGTGTTTTACCCTGATATTCATGGCTTTTAGCTATTCTGGTGGAGCTTCCAGGTTAATTGCATCCCACTAGAGTTGGCCACTCTTGCCAGATCTCCCGTACATTATTATTAGGTATCTGTAACTTCTGAGTCCTAGAGTCTGTCCCCAGTGCCTTACCTGCCGTAGCAGCCCAAGAGATCAGCTGCAGGGAACCTGTGAAAAAAGCAACAGGGCATCCCCACTACCTCTGTCCTTCACCGGCTCCTTGCTTCCTTCTTTTCCTCTGTCGCATTTGTGCCTTGAAGGCAGCTCTGCCTCTGTGAGGATGGTTTCTTCTCCAGTTGCTAAGCTATCTGCACCTTTGTGACCACCTCTGGTACTTGAGCCACCTTACCTGATTTTTCTACAGGGAGAAAAAGCTGCTCATTTTCTACTCATTTTCCTGAGCGCTTCCTGTTGTTTGTATTCCTGTGCGTTACCAAGTCCTTTCATCCTTTTATAAGCCTTAGCTTTCCTTGCTAGCTTTCCTTACCCAGGTTTGCTGGGGAGAGAAACACAGCTGTCTTTCCCACAATTCTGAAGAGCTTTTCTGTGTCCAGTCTATTCTTTCTATAGTCACGCACTCCTAACACGACAGGAGGGTGAGGGCTGAACGCCTACACCTGCAGAAAGAGCGCTTCTTCTTGGAGGGTAAGAAAACTGAGTCAGCATAATAGAAGTAAGACAGCAGTATCTTAAATACACGGGCTTGAAAGCAATTTTTTGCTTTCACTTTTAGCATCCTGTGCTTGCCAGAAATGTGTCCTGTGACAAGCATGCTCTGTCTTAAGACTTGAGGTCTTGCCGCCTGGTATTCAGGCAGAAAGGCAATTACACAGTCCCATTATTCTGACAGTTAAAAAGATTCAGCCATTGTTCTTCTTGGACAATTCATACTGATTTGCACTGTGCCGACATTGCTCCTTAGCCTAAATAAGTCTTCTCTCCAAAATGTTATCACCTTCACTTGTATAGAGACAGACAGAGAAGGCAATCAGACAGATAGTGAAAAATT